TTCATCTTTCATAATTTGGAATACTAAATATTCAAATTCAGTTTTACTTCTACTTATCGAACAATTGTCCCTTACCTTCTTAGTCCATTTTTCTATCTGTATTTTTTCAAACCAGCCTAAACCCAATTTTTCAATGATTTCTTTTTTCCTCCTTTCATTTTCTGAAGTTTTTAACCAATCTATTATAGTTTGTATATTTTCATCTTCCATTACCCTATCACGACTTATATTAGTTTTAATCGGCAGACGACAACAATTGTAATGATGATAAAGACAATGAAAAAAATTGTAAAAAATTCTAATTATTTCATTGCTCAAAAATTAATTACTTCCACAGGTTACTAGAAAGCTCATGATTTCTCTGGATCTCTCAAATGAATCACATTCCAATGAACATCAGTTATGACCAGAATCTGGACTGGGTCTCTTCCCAGGTAACAACATTTCCACTTTCTGTTCAGAGGCACCGTCTTTCTTTTATTTAATCCATTCATGTTTTGGGGCACATAGACATTGAACAGAGGGCTTTCATGACCACCACTAAAATATTCTAGTCATAACAATTTGGAAAGAACAAGAACTTAAGTTTTTCTATGTTGTTCTATTCTTGCTACACATTACTCTGTTTGCAGCTGGACATGCAGCTAAACCCACCTATCCTCCAATAAAACAGAACATGTGGGTAGATTTGGTTGCTTTATTAAAGAAAGGATGGGTGAAATTGGTAAAAATAGAAATACATACAATAAGAACTCAAATACAAAATAAGCAGTGCTGAGTTGCTGGTGAGCATAACAATTAACAAATACAAATAAATCTAAATCTCACCAGAAATGTTGTGTGTGTAGGATGTGAATTTTTATCCTCAGATGAACATGTGTCACAGATTAGGCTGTTTCTTCCTGGTGCTTCTGTTTCCTCTCCATGCTAAAGTCTGGCTTCCCAGGATGCACTTGTTTTTGGAGTGAGGCTTGATGGATAGATGACCCTTAAAGGGCTGGGTCAGCTTCCAAACAATACAGCCACTAGATGGTGCCAGAGAACAACAGTATATACACAAATTATATGCCTGGGGCATGACATATGGATTGGCATATAGGTAGATATAGCAGGGATTCACATTGTTGGAGATTTGAGTTGAACAAGATCAATTTTAAAGGATGTGCTGAGCATATGCAAAATAATAAGTAGCAGACAGCTCCAATTAAAAACTGTTCACAGTATTATTGTCTTGGATGTAGTGTATAATCTCAGCTCAGCTGTCAATAAATGCAAGCAGTTCAAAGTTCAATTTATGGAAAAAGAAAGCCTGACTTCTATCTGAACTGCGCCTTGAAGAGAGGGAGGCAAGAGAGAGAGGCGAAAAAAAGAAAAGAAAATACCCTTCTTTAATTAATCATAGGCCATGTAAGAAACAGACACAGAGGCAGCAGGTGAAAACCTTCTCCTCATCTATCTGTCACCATTTGCCTCAGTTGTCAACAGGCTGTTAGGTGGAAATGGAGAGTACAGTTGTCAACAACATTTCTGAATGGACTGATATTCACACTTGCTTCTGAATGCTGAGTTGGACGTGCTAACTCAAAAACCGTAGGAAGGAATACAATTTATTTCATTCCAGTTGTGTCGGTGGGTGGGTGCTTTCATGTCATTTTTGACTCCTGGCAATTGCTTGGATAAGACCCCACAGTTTTCTTGATAAGGTTTTTTGTTGTTGTTGTTGTTGTTGTTGTTTTGTTTTGTTTTTGTTTGTTTTTTTGTTTTTTTGAAGTAGTTTGCTTTTGCTTGCTTCCTAGAAAAAGACTGGCCCGAGATCATCCAGCTGGGTTTGTGGCTAAAGCAGGACTAGAACTCACAGTCTTCCAGTTTCTAGTCTGATGCCTTAACCAGTACATCAAACTGGTTCTCATTTTCATTTCTATTTACTGTACTTAAAGCTAAAGATAAATGCCTACGTTTTAAAACGTTCTCTTTCTTTTCTCCTTTTCTTCTATCAAATTAAGATAAAAATTGTTCTTGGACCCTCAAATTGTACATGTCTGGCCTATAAGATTTCAATGCCAGTCTCTTAGGCACAAGATTACTATACAAGGTACATTGTCTATTAGAGCTAGCCTGAGTCAAACATTTACATTCAAATGTTTAAAAAACCCAGAACAAACAAAGAGAAACCAAACAGAAGTCCAGACCCACAAGCCAAGAATAAGAGTTACTTGTTACAGAGTCTCCCTATGATAGGAAGCAACAATGGCTGAAAAGGAATGGGCTGATTGGAGGGCTTCACCCACTGTCTCTTTCTCCCTTAGCTCTCAGCAACATGTAATGTTGACCATTCCTGGTTCAATGACTGGTTCACTGGGCACCTGAACTTCCAGATTAAGCATCAGTGAGTATGAGCTAGAGAAGAAGCAAGGGCATAGAAGTGTGTGTGGGAGGGGGAGACCTTCAGGGCAGTCATACATCACACATGGTTGATGTTAAGCAGGGCTGCCATGTTTTGGATCTAGTAAAAGTTTTGGGATTGTCACCTGACACCCTCTTTTCTTCTTGCAGCCTTTTCCCCACCATGCCTCGACACAATTACTACAAGGTGGCTCCTCTGGTGAAATCTCTATGTGTCAAGCATGGTGTTCACTATGAGTGCAAGCCCATCCTCACAGCTTTTGCAGATATATTACAGTAAGTTCCCAGCTGAGGGAGGCTCCTCTTGGGCACTGGCTTATCCAGAAAAGATTTCAGCAGAACGAGCACAGAAAACATTGCTTGGTGAAGATGTTCTCACTGCCATCAATCCCCTTCTCCTTTCTCTTTCTGCAGCCGCCTGAAGGAATATGGGCAGGACTGGCAGGAAGCTTATCTCCATGAATTAGGGGTGGGTGATGTTCAGACAGCAACAGAAGTACATTAACTTGGTAAGAAAGGATGACTTTTAATTACGGAGAAAATAAGGTATTTCCAATAATGAGTTGATCACCTCTCTATTCCCCTTTTTTTAGCAGAGGCATGAGGATTTAATCACTTCTGAGTATCACCACTTATGAATGGGAGACAGCCAGGGGGCTGAGTGGAAAGTTGTTTCAGTGCACCTCTTGAGAACTCTCACTTTGTGTTGATTGATAGCAAAATTAGGAAAAGGGAAATGACAGAAAGAATGTTTTGCTTCAGTAGGTGGGAACATTGACAAAGGAGCTAATAAGCATCCAATTACTTTTTTGGTTTGCCTACTGTTGCCATCACTTTTAGACCCTGATTAACTGCACCTGTCATACAACCACACAGGTCATTCCAGTGGGAACCACCACTCTAGTTAGGAGTGAGAAATAATTATACTTTTTTTTTATTAGTTAAAAAATACAAACAAACATAAATACAATGATACAACATACAAAAACAAACAAACATCAATCAAGTCTTACGACTTACTCTTAAAGTTGTCACATCAGTAGACTATTTTTCCATGCTTATCTATATATCTATATATTTACATATCTACATGTAAAGCATTAACATGCGTTCCATCCTTAAAAATTGTTACATTCCTTAATTGGTACTCAAAATTTTGTCTTAAGATTGACCTTATTCTTTAGTGTCCCTATGAATGTATTTCTAACTTTTTCTCCAACCAGTTATACCATTTTTGCCATGCTAAGTAGTATTCTATATCATCTTTCTCCTGTAGTTCTTTTGTAAGTTTATCCATTTCTATGCATTCTGTGATTTTAGTGATTATTTTGTTTTTTGTCGGTATGTGTTCCTGTTTCCAATTGCCCAATGGGCAATTTTTTTGCCCAATGGGCAAAAAGAGAGAGAGAGAGAGAGAGAGACAGAGAGAGAGAGAGAGAGAGAGAGAGAGAGAGAGAGAGAGAGAGAGAGAGAGAGAGAGAGAGGGAGAGAGAGAGAGAGAGAGAGAGAAATAATTAAACTTTGCAAGATCCAACATTTTGTAATGATCAGCAGTCATTATGATGCACTTTCCAATCTGAGTTTCTTTAATGAGTCTTTTTTTCATTTCTTGACAGTGGTTCATTGAGTCCTCATGATTGCCTGCCTATATTCATGTAAAGAAGTGGAGACTAGTGGAGACCTTCCTCCAGGAGCTTTTGCATTAGATGTAAAGTCAGGTCCATCTTCTTCCTGTGATGCTGCCAGAAATGGACTCCCTTCCCCTTTCTCCCCCTCTGTTCCGGAGTCAAATGTTCTGTTTTTCTTACAATTTTGGAAAACCATTTGACAATTCCTGCTGATACTTGAATGTTTATATAGTATTCAATACTTCTACTATTTATGTGAAATATAATTGGACATTGTTTTATTCTGCTTTATAGAGTTTTTTTGATAACTCTCTGAGGTGGGAAAGCAGAGATAAGTGTATATAAAAAGCTAAGGTGAAATTTGAACTTCTGATTTTGACAGTCTCTTGGGATAATGAAGAAGCAGGAACAAAACCAGAGTCACTTCGGATAGGTGATGGGTAGTATAAATAAATAAACAAATAAGCAAGCAAACAAATAAAATAAATAAATAAAACGGTGGCTCAGTCATTTCTTTCATGCCACGATACCTAATTCTGCCTTACTCCATTTACTATGATGAACAACAGAGCTGCTTCCTTTTGGGGATATTCATCCATTATTCTAACTCTTAATCATAGTGGAGGACATTAAATCTGCCAGGTGAGATTCAGAATCCACCTCAGAGGGCATGGTGCCTAGCAGGGGCACCCACAACAGGTAGGGTTGGTGTGAAAACAGTAAAGATGATGTTTATGATCACATGCTCTGATAATTGCACAGGCATTTCTGCCTTTTTTAATCATACCCACCCTTTGCGGTCATCCCTGCTGACAAGGGTTGTTGAGACTTGTAATTCAACATTATAGGGGGGGAGAGATATGGTCTCCTCAGTTTTATCACTAGTTATCTTTTTGTTGTAAGGGGAGGCAGTGGGAGGAAGTGTAGCAAATTGTCTTTCTTATTGACATGCATTGATCTTCTACAGCATTTCTCATCATTACCACAACTTTATTCTCCTGCCACACAAATTTCTTCTCTTCTAGCATAATTTGTGCTGTTCCAACAAATGAGCCTTTTCTGCTGAGAAATAAAGCCTGCGAGTGGTTGAATGCAGACAACTTGCATAAAATTGTTGGATTTTGCTGGTTTTGTTCCTTGTACCAAATATCCCATCTGGTCATCAAACATGGACAAATCCTTTTCTTTAAGATAGTCTGGAATTGAGGAGGAGGAAACATGCTAAGAAATTTGAGTGGCTTCTATGAGGATGGGTTTTTCAGAGCTGCCTGTTTTATTCAGAGTTTGTTCCTTTCTCACTAGAGTACTCCACATTCTTTCCTCTTCCAAAACGTTTGTACATATGGATACCCGATGCCTCCCTCTCCATATTATCTTCTTATACTAACACAGTTCATTTCTCCACACCTAAACCTAATGAATGAAAGAAAACCAAGGCACTCTTAAGAAAATCTATTTCTGAGACTATTACTTCCCATTCTTCCTGTTCTGTATCAAACCTTTGTACAGATTCAATGGATGGTCAATGCTGAAAGGTTCCGTACTAGGGCTAGCATCAATCTGCAGCTGCTCTTCTGCTGGGAACACAAAGTGAGCCTTTTGCCCATAAAGAGTCTGTTATAAGATGGTGAGAATGTGCTCCTAAAAACTGGATATTTGCCTTGAAACCTGTCCTGGGAAAACTGATCACCTGTTTTTATTCCCCAAATCCTAAGAAACCATTTCACATATGCACATAGGGACTACCCAGTGGGCTGAAAAAAGTGATCCTCGCACTTTTGACCAGTCATCATTTATGTCCATTGCAGCATTCTTAATTAAATTAATTAAATAAAAATAACCTGCTGGAACGGTCAGAGGCAGTCCAAGGTGGGTGTTCGGGCCAGTTGCAGGGCAAGGAGATACAACTGGGATTGGTAGGCTGCTGCTGCACAGGTGGGAGGCGGGCGCAGGCCTACAGAGCTGGCTGCAGGGTGAAGCGATCGGATGGGATAGGTCAGGGTTCTGCAACTTTAAACACTCAACCTTAATCACATGTAAACACTTAAACACATATCACTTACTCCCACCCCAGCCACGCCTACCCAGGTTTTGTGGCTCCCAGTATTTTCTTTTAAACAGGTATCTCTGTGTGTCTCTTTCATCCTTCATCTCTTTCTTTCTCCCACCTCTCTTTCTCTCCATCTCTCTTTCTCCCCCCCTTTCTCTCCTTCATCTCTCTTTCTCTCCTTCATCTCTTTCTCCTCCCCCTCTCTTTCTCTCCTTCATCTCTCCTTCTCTCCATCTCTTTCTCCCCCTTCTTCTCCTTTGTCTCTCTTTCTCTCCATCTCTCTCCCATTTCTCTCCTTCATCTCTCTTTCTCTCCATCTCTTTTCTTTCCCCTCTCTTTCTCTCCTTCATCTCTTTTTCTCTCCATCTCTTTTCTCCTCCTCCTCTCTTTCTCTCCTTCAACTCTCTTTCTCTCCATCTCTCCTTCTCCCCCCTCTCTTTCTCTCCTTCATCTCTCTTTCTCTCCATCTCTCTTTCTACCCCCCTCTTTCTCTCCTTCATCTCTCTTTCTCTCCATCTTCTCCTTCTCCCCCCTCTCTTTCTCTCCTTCATCTCTCTTTCTCTCCATCTCTCTTTCTCCCCCCTCTCTTTCTCTGCATCTCTCTTTCTCCTTTCCTGCCCAGGCAGCGGCGGTGGCAGCCCACCTACTACACCATCGGGTTGCCCCTCGGCCTGGAAGTGGCACCTTAGGCTTGCGCCCCACTGTGTGTGCGCCCACACAGCTGCTCCTGCAGCTGGCTCTGGTTGCTCTTACTGAGCTTCACAATGGGGCAGACGGTGCTCTTCCTCCTCCTGGAGCCCATTACGACGCAGAGCATCAGCTGCAGCCTGGCCACCCAGTATTCCAGGGTGGAGAAAAGTCGCACGTCTCCCCCAGTGACTGGATGGGGTAGGGTAGGTTGGTGCCACTTGGGTGGAAGGCAGCTGCAGAACAGTCCTGCTGGGTCGGCGGCAGGCCGAGATGCTTGGATGAGGTAGTCAGCGGCCGCCAGTTGCTGGCTACCCCATCCAAGTGCCTTGCTGGCCACTCGATCCAAGTGCCTTGCTAGCCACATGGCCACTGACCACTGCCTATCCCCATCCAAGCACCTCGCTAGTGGCTGGCAGCCACGTGGCTAGCAAGGTGCTTGGATGGGGGTAGGCAGCGGTCGGTGGCTGTGTGGCCAGGGAGGCGCTTGGATGGAGTAGCCAGCGGCTCACAGCCGCTGGCCACCCCATCCAAGCACCTCGCTAGCCATGCGGCTGCCAGCCACTAGCAAAGTGCTTGGATGTGGGTAGGCCATGGCCAGCAGCTGGGCGGGCAGAGGTCGACCACCGTTCCCAGCCCCACTTTCCCGAGGGCAGCACTCGGCTGTACTTGCCTGTTCTGCTGCTGGAGCAGTTGGTGGGCATTCGGGAACAGAGTGGGAGGCCACTCATGGGCAAAGGTAGGAAAGCAGGCTGGGCCATGTGGTCGAGGAGCCAAAGAATAACTGCAGCTATGCCTTGGTATGTCACTGAGGCAAGCTGTGCAACACTGTGAGCGAGGCCAATAAATACTGGTGGGCAGGGCGGGGCAGCAATTTAACAAACAGTTCATGTGCTGCAAGGCCAATAAATTACAAAAAAATACTGAACTGTTTGTTAAATTGCTGGCTCACCTGCCCCTCGCCGCATCCCGCCCACCACTATTTTATTGGCAATAAATAGTGGTGGGGAGGGGTGGGCGAGCCAGCAATTTAATAAATGGTTCATGTGGCTGTGAGGGCCAAGGCCAATAAATAGTGGTGCGGAAGGGCGGAGCAAGGGCGGGGCGAGCCAGCAATTTAACAAACGGTTCGGCCGAACCACCTAGAACCCCACCACTGATGTTGTGTTATCTTCAAATACTTGTATAGCTCCCTTCACTTCAATATCCAAATGCCTTAAAAATTGTATGTCATGTTATCTCTGAGCACAACTCTTACAATACTATGAATTCTGCTTCGGTTGTGGAGATGGCGATTGAACTCTGTTTCTAGATTTCTAACCAACTAGTGTATTTGCAAACATTGCAACAAATCCTGACATTGATTTTCTATTCTGTACATTATTAGGCCAATCACTATCTACAAAACATTTCAATTCAAATTCATTTGATGATTGCAAATGCAATTCAAAATCTATATTTCCCATTAAATAATGTAGTATTCTTTTAATTCCTAACCAGTGTTGTTGTTTCTTTTTGTCCACCCAACAGCTTTTTGTCCCTCTGGTAACCTCATTTCAGTGAAAACCTTATGTCTCTGCATAGACAGCATCTCTTCATTCATAGCCTCTTTCCATTTTTTATTGTTTTGCCAGAGGTAAATTTAATACTTCCTGGTAATTTTTGGACTCATAAAAAAATGTTACATACTTTTACCTCATCTGCTTGAATCTCTCGGGAGGAACACCTTTGTTTACTCTTTCAGATTTCCTTGGAATAAAATATTCCTGTTTCACCAGAATCTCACTCTCTAAACATTTCTCTAACCTACTGTATACTCAGACCCTGAATTCTCATTCCCAATTCTCATGTTCAGAAAAAATGGCATCAAATTATATTTTTGTGTCCATCTGTAAATCTATATGCCTTTGATCCTGATCGATAACCTATAAATTTCAATTTCCTTGCCTTTAGCTGTCCTTTCCCCCTAATTGTTTTGGGAATGTGCACTTGTGCACTGCTGTCAAAGATTCTTAAATGTGCCAAAGATGGTTGACTTTTATATGATATGTAATATGGAGTTTTATTAATTGCTGAACTCCATAATCTATTGATCAAATAATTGACAGTTAAAATTGCCTCACCCCAATATAGCTTACTCATTCCTGCATTTGCTAGTAATGCATCTTTCATAGTTTGTAATATTCCATCCCTGCATTCAACAACTCCATTCTCTACTGGAGTGTAGGGGTTCATTTTTCTATGGGTTATGCCTTTCTTTCTCACCCACTGCTAAAACATATTAGACATGAACTCTGTACCTCTGTCTGTCTGTAGTTGACATACACTTTGATTATATCTCCTCACTACATACTATTTAAATTTTTGAAATGTTTCTGTTTTGCTTTTTAGTAAATAACAAAACTCATATCTTGAGAAATCATCAAGAATTACCAAAGCAAATTTGGCCCCTTCCATTGATGGGGATAGAGAGCCAATTAAATCAGCATGTAGTAACTGAAAAATCCTGTCAGATTTCCTATGGTTTCTTTTGCTGACTGGGTATACTTTTGATTTGGCCTCTTCGCAAATAGCACAATCCAAATAGTTGTCACAATTTTTTACACTTAAACCTACAGCCAAGTCAGGTACTTTCTGTAAAACTTTAAAGCTTGCATGACCCACCCTTCTGTGTAATAAATGTGCACACCCACTTCCAATTGGCGCTGTGGGGATACAGAAAGGGAATTAGTGGGCTCTTCGGAGCCCTGCAAAAACCCCGTCTGCCAAGCCTCTGCCGGTAAATCATTGGACCTACCCTGTCCTGTAGGGACAGGGGGATAGAGAGGGACCCCTCAGATGGCCGAGAGGAACAGGCAGGTTCCTCGGGGCCAGAGGCTTGCCCTCTGCACCGGCAGCGGTGGAACGGCGGCCATGGTGGCTGCCCTGAGACCGCAGCAACCGGGATACAAGAATGCACAGGAGGAGAAGAGGAGAAGCGGAGAGCGGAGCCGGGAGTTTGCATGCCAGGTGAGTGGACATCAACCCAGGCAGGAACTGCTCACAAATGCTGAAGTACAATTAGTCTGCCCCAGCCTTAACAGCGGCTGAGAACTATTGGGGCACAAAGACAAAAGACCTGTTGGTGGATAACATAAATTACTGACTTTTTGGAAATGTTTGACTACAGATCTGGATATATATTTTCTTTACTTTTTGGTGGATAAATGAGATTGGACTATGTTTGGGAGAGAGGAAGGAGAAGAGGAAGTAATTATGCCTTCAAAAGCAAAGGGAAAAGACAAACGGAGACGGATAAAATGGTTGCCAGCTGAAAAGGGAAAGTGTAAATTCCAAGCTGCTTGTTACTTGAAAAGAGAAACTTTGTTGCTTGTTATTTAAACTTGATTATTTTGAGGAAAAGACTCAGAGAACTTGATTTAGGATACATAATCTGTTCACTGGAGGATTTATTGAAGATTATAAAGAAGAAATTAAATGGAACAATGAAAACTGAACTAATAAACATGGCAACAAAAGAAGGGTGTGGCAATAGAAGAAGGACATGATGATACCATATATGGAATAGCTTTAGAATTAACTTTGTAGAACTCATAACTTTGATGACATTGAAATGGAAAAGATACATATTTGGACAGACTGATGAAAGGAATAATGTATTATGTAACAAGACAACAAAATATTATATTTTGATTTAAATGAATGTAACGGTTTGTGGGTGGTTGAATAATGCTAGGAGATACTTTTTTTCTTTTTCTTCTCTATGCTCTCTCTCTATTTCTTTCTTTTAGTATCTTTCTCTTTGTTTCTTTTCTCCTCTCTATTTTCTTTTTTAATCTATTTGACTTCTTTTGTTATATTTCTACTGTCTTCCTTTTTCCTTTTTTTTAGTGTTGCCTTATTTTTTTGTTTTTCTTTTACTGTAATTATTATTATCATTGCTATTACTCTCTCTTTTTTCTATTATTATTCTAATATAAATATATAAACAATTTGATTAAGAAATAAGAGCATAAATGATTGAAGAAAAACACGATTTTTGGATGTTCTAATGCCTTTTTTAAACTTTGAATTTTTAACTAGCACTACCTACAGATGTGAGCCAGGCTAAGATTCGATATTGGGATAAAACTCAAATATTAGAAATCCAAATCTTTGGTCAAGACAGAAGTGCCTCTTCCGTGCCAAGGTGCTGAGATGACAAATGGTATATGATGTAGGTACAGAATTGTAAAAGGGCAAACTGACCCTAAACAGATACATCCTGTTGTTTAATGTTTATTACACCCCAAATGTCATGTAAATTCTAGAGAAGAAATACTGCTTCCCTTACTGTCCTCTTTACTGCTCGTGAGGCGCCTTTGAGCCCCTTATCTCCTTTTATTATGAATTGAGCTCCGGAGCTGAGAACCTGAGCCTGTGGGAAAAGGGCTGTTATGTCTTTCCTAGAGATAGATTAAAGGGTAACTTCTACGTGTGAAATGTCGCACTCTTCATAATAACTTTGCCTTTATACTGTATAAATATCTGGTCAAAATCAGCCATCTTTGTTCAGACCCTTTGCTGTCTTTGAACTGTTTGAACCTTGCGCAATAAACTGTTTCCTGCATTGAAGAGCTTGACCTAGTCCATCATTTTTCCTATAACAGATGTAATAATCTGGAAGAAAATGTTTACCTTTAAAGGCGTTGGATGTTAAAAAGAATTATTTATAGAATTAAGAACCATAAAAATTGATCTGAAAGTGTTTCAAAATGTTTTCTATTGAAAATAAGAAATAAGCATGGAATGGGAGAAAACTTAAGAGAGAATAGGAGATAAGATATTCATTGAAATATACTTTTATCTTAAATTGGTAAGAGATATGGAGTAGAATAGATTGGAAAACAATATTGGTAACACATTCCGAAGTAATTTGGAGCTAAACAACTGAATAAGAAATAAATGTTATGAATTAATTAAATAAATGAATTTAGGAGTGGAGGAAAGCATGATTCTGGAGATCAGTGAAAGTAAAGCTGTGACCCAGTTTTGCAAATAAGGTAGGAGTGGAGGAAAGCA